GCGGCGCTGCGGGGATGGCATTCAGGGTGCTCGGCGCAGCCCCCATTCACCATGTCTCCCACCCACCCACCCAGCATAGCCTGTCCCCAGGAGACTCCCTGGGGCACTCAGCTCCCTGCCACCCCGGGGCTGCCCCAGCTCTGCAGCCTGAGGTCACCAAACGCGGAGCCGCGCTGTCCCTCACTCTTGGGACAATGTCCCTTCCTCCTGGGGCAGGGGTGGACGCTGCCCAGGCCCTGTCCTTGCAGCCCCCTGGCAGCCCCTGCCCACGGGGTACCTGGTCCTTGAGCTCCTCCAGTCCCAGCGTGGCGATGCTGCCCGAGGGCTTCTTCAGGGGCGGTTTGGAGCGGCGCAGGACCCGGCTCACCCTGTCCCGGATCACCTGGGTGCAGATGGAGGGGGTCAGCACCCTGTGTGTGGGCACCCCGGTCTGCATGGACCTGCCTCCTGCTCCCCTGCCTGCCCAGGGGACACGGGGCTGACAGTGGGGACAGCACCTCTGCCTGCCACCCTCCCTGTCCTCAGATCACCGAATGATGCTGGGGAACCCGCCCTCCTCCCACTGCCTCCTGCTGGGAGTTCCCCGATTTGGGGGCTGTAGGTAGCCCTCTGGGGTGGCCACACACAGTACGCCCTCCCTGGGGAGCCCGGCCCCTGCTCTGCACCTCTCCTGCGTGCAATGGCCCTGCTCCCACTGCCGAGCCACAGCCCCGAGGCCTCAGCGCACCTCATAGACATAGTCCAAGATCTCCAGGATGGTGAGGATGCTGGCACCGATGAACAGGCCCATCTGTCCCCCGATGTCCCCTGGGGAGGAGGAGGAGGGGGAGATGGTCACTGGGAGCTGCTGTGCAGCCCGCTGGGAGCCCAGGGTGGGCCAGCGGGGCTGCGGGCAGTGCCAGGGCTGCCGGACAGAGGGGGACAGCATGGTCACTGGAGCAGGGGCGGCAGGACGGAAGGAGCAGGGGACATGTGGCACAGGGGACGGCCAGCAGCATGCCACCCTTCAGCCAGGCTGTGGCCAGCTCCCGCCCCATGTGGTCCCTCCCCAGCCAGCCCTATACCCTCCTGGGCTGGGACCCAGAGCTCCGCGCCTCAGGGTCCCAGGGGAAGGTGGGGGGAGTCACCGAGAAGCCCAGCAAGGTCGTAAGCTTTCTTCTGCTCAATGGCCTCGTAGTTGAGCGCCTCAAAGAATATGTCCAGCACCAGGAAGTTCTCCCTGTGGGGACACCACAGTGCTCAGCAAGGAGGGATGGTCACTGGCCCTCCCACCCCCACTGCCCCCCAAACCTCGTGACCCTGTCCCCTAGCCCCTCAGCTCCCAGATGCTCCCAGGGCCCCGGTGAATTATTCAGGCTGGTGGGGTGGGGACATGGAAGGGGCATGTCCCAGGTCGGGAGGGACTGTGAGGTGGGGAGATGCTGGCAAGAGGGCTGGGAGGACATGGATGGGTTGGGGAGATGTTCTACTCGCAGCCACCCCTGGGCAGAGGATGCTGCAGGTACCGCATGTGCCAGGGCCTCCTCCCCTCACACTGCCAGGAGTGGTGTGGGGGTCCCCCAGGTCCCCAGCCCCCTGCCCACCGCCCCAGCACACCCCAGCACTGCCAGCTCACCGGATGTAGGTCTCGTTCTTGTTGTACTTGCGGGCGAGGTAGCGCGCCGAGCCCTTGTTGGGGATGCGCACCATGGAGATCTCCTTGCCGTAGCGTGTCAGGTTGCACGGCGTGGGGCAGCTGCAGCGCTCCTGGCTGTCCTCCACCGCTGCGTCTGGGGGCACGCACCCGTTGGCCTGGCTGCACCCCCCTGGCCCCCACCCCGAGGGCACCCGGCCGGCCACCAGCCACCCGCCTGCCGCCGCACCTACCCAGCGTGTGGTCGGCACACTCGATGTACACGTTGGGGGAGCAGATGGACTCGTTGCCTGCAGAGAAGCAGCTGGTTGGTTGGGAGGGTGGGAGTCTGGCCTGCTTCTGCCCCCTGCCTTCGACTCGCTCCCCTCAAGGCAGTGGGGCAGGGGTGGCCCCTGGGTGCAGAGGGGATGGGGACGGGTGGCTCTTGGGTGCAGGTTGGCTGGGGCAGGGGTGGCCCCTGGATGTAAGGCAGGCGGGGAAGGGGCTGACCGGAGGTGTAAGGAGGGTAGGACAGGGGCTGACCCGGCGTGCAGAGAGGATCGGTGGTTCCTGGGTGCAGAGGGATGGGGCAGGAGGGACTCTCAAGTGGAGAAAGATGTGGTGGTGGGGACACTTGAGTGCAGAGGAACGGGGCAGGGGTGATCTTCAGGTGCAGGCTGTAGGGGGCCGGGGCAGCCCCGGGCGGGACCATCGGGGCAGCGGGGTGCCCCCACGCCGTCATGCCCACCCCTCACCTGGCATGTGGACCATGCGGCAGTGGCAGCTCTGCACCACAGCCTCCTTCTCGCACTGCAGGCGGCAGGCGGCGATGCTGTAGGTGTCGTAGCCGGGCAGCGTCTGCTCCCCCTGCACGCTGGCCCGGCAGTTCCCCCACGGCTGCGGCAGGTAGGTGAGCTGCCGGGGGGAGAGGGGCATCGCTGCAGGGCTGTGCCAGGGTGTGTGCCTGCGGGCACCTCCCAGGGGCTGTGGGGCATCCTGCCTTACCCGCTGCTCCTGGCAGGACACGAAGGTCTGGAAACCGGGCGAGACACCGAAGCCCAGCTGATGGATGTAGGGTGGCTCGTCCTGGCTGTGGATCTGGACCCGGATGCCAGCTTCAAATGACGTCTCGTCTGCAGGGAAAGGACAGAGGGGCTGCACGCCTGCACCCACCCAGCACCTGCACCCTGGGGCCCAGCACCCCTCCAGTTCCCTGCTTGCCCCATAGCCCCCCCAGGGTGCCCTGCTTGCCCAGCAGCCCTCCCTCCTCGCCCATGCCCTGCCCGCGCCACGGCCCCACTCACTGGTCTCTCTCCAGATGGGCAGGTACTCTTCCTGCTGGATGTCCAGCATGATCTCCAGCCCGTTGCCCATGCCACCCTGGCGGGTCACTCGTGGGTTCCTCCGGTCCCCATTGAAGGTGTAGCACTTACCATAGCGTGTGTAGACCTGGGGATGGAGAAAGCAGGGGGGATGAGGGAGCAGTCAGGGATCTGGCAGGGTGTTCTGCAAGCTGAATGACGTCCAGGGACCCTTTTCCAATCCCATGGAGGTGCACGGCCCTTGCAAGGGCTCATCTAAGCCTTCCCCCCACCCCCCGCTGCCACCCCTCTGCCCTTGCTGGAGGGCCATCGCTGCCAGCACCCATGGGGCAGCCCAGCTGTCCTGCCCCTGCCAGGAGGGGACTCACAGGAGCAAAGTGCTGGGGGCCGCAGCGCTCTCCCTGAAAGCGGCACTCCACCAGCATGTCCTCAATCTGGTGGCCCAGGCGGTGGAAGAAGCTCTGCATGGTGCGCTCGGAGCGGCGAGGCGGCAAGAAGCGCGAGTAGTTGGCGAGACGCGTCAGCCACGCGCGCTGGTCCTCCCCCAGCACGGCCAGCATCTCGGGCACCAGCGAGCGGTTCTCCTGGGCCAGCCCCAGCCACTGCCCCACCGCGTAGAGGTCGGGCTTGGTGAGGCGCAGGAAGCGTGCCCGGTTGGGATTGCAGAGGGTGACGGCCGGGAAGCGGAGCTGGGGGGCCCAGGCGAGGCGCGCCCGGGTGTGCACGGGGCGCGAGAGCAGGTGGTGCAGGCGGTCGGTGGCGCCGGTGGCCAGCAGCCCGGCGGAGGCCAGGAAGGCCAGGCTCCAGAGCAGGCGGCGCAGGCGGGACTGCGGCCGGGTGCACATGTAGTGCAGCCCGGGGATCCTGGTGGCTCGCAGGACGCCGACGGTGAGCTGGGCAGCGCTGCCATCCTGAGCTGCTGCCAGGGCTTCCCCGTCCTGGCAGCAGGCAAGGGACAGCGGCATGGCTGCAGGCAGGGCGGCTCCTCTGGAAAGTGGGGTGCAGGCTGCCCCCGAGGCTGCCTGGGGTCCCCGGTCCGCTCCAAGGAGCTCTCCCTCCCAGGAGGCTTTTGCTCCGCACCTTCCTGGAGACGAACGTGGCAAGCGCCTTCCCAAGCTGCTCCGGTGACGGGCGAGGGGAGGGAGAGGAGGGGGCTGTTGCAAACACACGCCTTCCCCCAACCTCCATTCGGGAATGGAAAATTCCTCCCCGAGCCGGGCTGGGACGGGGGGGTGTGTGGCGTTACCCCAGGCAGGGTGAACTAGCAGCACGCAGTACCCCAGCATGGTGGGCACCCGTGTCTGGACAGTGATGCCCTGTCCCAGCTACGCTGTGTGAGCCCTTTGCCTAGGGATGCTGCACCCCAGCTCGTCCCCGTTGTCCCCTGCCCTGGCACTGCAGCCCCCCTGGATCCCTGCGTGGACCCCCAGAGTCCCCAGCCACAGCTGTTCTGGGGCTGGGGGCTGGGGGCCCTGCCCCACAGAGGCAGGACAGTGCCAGGCCCAGGGGGCCATCACCTCCTGCCAGCGCTGCTTGGCACCACATGGGTACCTTGGTCCCCAATGCTGTACCCTGGTATCCCCCACCCTGGAGCTGGGGACCCCAGTGGATTTGGGCCCTGTGGGGTGTGCAAAGCAGGGCTGTGGGGCAGGAGAAGTAGAGCCGTGGGGCGGGAGGCTGCGTGGGAGCCCACCTGAGCCCGGCGGGCGCTTTGAAGTGACGGTGAGGCTGTGATCAGAGCACGGCGGCAGGGGGGTGCCTCTGCAGCAGGCTGTCAGTGCGGCTGGCAGGGCCCGACAGCCTGTCAGGGTGCCTTCAAAGCTCAGCACCGCACTCCCCGGCAGCCTCTCATCTCCCGCTGCCGCCGCTCCCAGGCACCCGCCTTCGGCACCAGCCCTGCCGAGGAGCGGGCTGGCCCTGGGGGGGGTCCCGTAGCCTCTGCTACCCCAGGACGAGCCAGGGCTGCCATGCCCCCTGTGAAGGGCAGCATCCCTGCTGCTCCATGGCAGCCGGGCAGGAGGAGGGCCGCGGTGAAAGGGGGGACTGGAAAGAGGGGAGCTCCTGCTCGCCTTAGCAGTGACTCCCAGCACCATCCACGCTGCCAGCCTTGCCGCCTGAGCGCGGCGTGACTCTGCAGCCGTCCCGGGGACCCGGCCAGGATCCAGGCTGACTGGCGCAGGAGGATGCCCGGCAGGTCAGGAGCAGGGTTTGGCCTCAGGGAACGGGAGGGGCACCAAGGCGGGTGAGCGGAGGCAGCGCC